CCACCCCCAGTTCTTCCAGAGTCAGGACTGTTTATCTGTGGCTGAGAAGGCCGACCCGTTTCCCCCAGGGTCATTCATTTTTCCAGTGTCCCAATTCCTGGCAGGACTTTCGTAAGGGCGTTTTCTTTTTCTTGTAGGTGGCTTATTCAGGGCTGGAAGTGCCAGGAGCCTGTAGTGCTGCCACAGTGGCACGATTCATTTTCACTAGAGAATCTTCCTTGATGTCTCTATTGGGGGCTATTTCTAATAATTCTGACCAATTCTTTCCTACAAACCCATCAATCTTTTGGGTTTTTTTCTCTTACAAAGGCCAGGTTAATCGCCTTGAGGTTTTTATACATAGTGGGCATGCTTCCAGATGCTTCTTCCGAGCCCTGTTTTACATCGGCTTCTGTAGACAGACTAGTAGATTTGTGAGCTGCCAACCTCAGGCCCTCCAGAGGAATCTGGTGGTACTCAGGGTGACCTCCTGTCTCCTTCTGTCCCATAATCCCAGTCTGGTCTCCTGAACAGAACTTTGTCAATAGCTGCTGTTCTCAGATCATTATCAAGACTGCTTAATTGGTCAGCTCCTTAGCTGCTTCTGCTAGGCAGGATTTGCGAAGAGAGTGCTGAGAATTTGTTGGCAGCCATTCATCCTTGGTGAGGAAATGGTTTAAAAAAAAAAAAAAAAAACCAACACAGAATTAATCAGGGAAACCAGAGAATTAGGGTCTTTGCTGATAGGAGGATTCTGGTTTCCAGTTGTAAGGATCCGTTGTAGCAAATGGAACATATAGGTATCATCCTTCAGGTGCCTGGCAGAGAGGAAGGACAGGGACTGGAGTCCTTCTGTTTCACACACAGAAATGGAAACTGAAGTCACCCGTTGGCCAGGGCGAGGAAGCTGAATCTGGAGTTGCTTCTGCTTGGGGATAGGAGTGGAAACGAGCTGTAGGCTGGTCAGGGCCAGGAAACTGAATCTGGCTATCCATTGGGACCTCCCGGACAGATATGGGAGGGGAAAGGACCAAAGGTAGCTCCACGGGGCAGCTGGAACAGAGGGAGTAGATGAGTAGGGTGAGTGCTGGAGAGGCTGAGGTGAGGGAGAAGCAGGAGGAGGTAATAGGCTCAGGAGAGGTGGGGGCAGTGGAGATAAAGGGGAGGCATGGGGCAAGGACAGGGTCCTCCTGAGAGGCCTGTAGGACAGGATTTTTGGAGGGCTTTTGGTCCGCAGACAAGGGTTTCTAGAGAGTCTTCTTTGCTATGACTAGGGCTTGGCCACACTGCCCGTTCGGAACATACAAACCTTCGTCCATAGGGGCAGATTGGATGTTGCCTCTGCCCAGGGTAGACTACACCTAATCTGGTCTGGGTGGCCAGGAACACTGCCCAGGCTACCTGGGAGCTGAAGGTGCTTCTGGGGGCCATCCAACACTGAAAGTGAGCAACTGCAGCTCACAGAAGGATCAGAGGCAGTCCTTGGTGATAGGATGATCATAATCCTGCTTAGTTATAGGAGGCTAAATTTTGTCAAAGTTCCTCAAAACTTTTTTTTTTTTTTGTCTTTTTGAGACAGAGCTTCTAACGGTGTAGTCCTAGCAATTGTAGACCAGGCTAGCCTTGAACTCACAGAGATCTGTCTGCCTCTGCCACCCAGGTGCTGGAATTAAAGGCATTTACAACCACTGCCCAGCCAGAACATCTATCTTATCAGGCTAGAGTGTGTCTGAGGTGTGAGTCAAACTTCACAGGGTGGGGAGTATACTAAATTCCAGAAACAGGTTAAAAACATGGTTAACTTGAATTTTGCAGCAAACAGAAATGAACTTATTTTGGCCTTATAACAAAATAGTTCTTAACTTTAAGATGGAATCAAGCTGGTCCATCAGATTGGCTTTTTTTCTTCTGTACAAGGTTAGAAAACAAACACTTTAGGTTATTTTTAAGAGATTTATTTTATTTTTAAGTGTGTCTCTGTGTGCATATATGTGTTTGTGTATGTGTGTCTGTGTGTCTTTGTGGCACGAGTGCAGATGCCTGACGAGGCCAGGGTTACAGGTTGAGCTATCTTCCAGTCCGCAACACTCTAGGATTAGGCTACCCTTTCTCTGTTGCAGACAAAGTGTACAAAGCCTTGTGAAGTCGCAGGTTAGGGCCTGTGGAGCCCAGAAGAAGGTCAGGTCCTGGAGCTGGAGTTACAGGCACCTGGGAGCTGCCTGATGCGGGTGCTGCTCGCTGGAACTGGGTTATCGGCAGGAGCAGTGGCTGCTCTAACCACCCAGTCACTCTAGCTCTTCTTTATTGCTTCCTCTCTGGCTTCAGTTTGCTTTTGGAACAGGATCTCATTCTGTAGACCGGCTGACCTTGAACTCATGGAGGTCCTCCTGACTCTACCGTCCAAGTACTGCTATTAAAGGTGTATGGCACTACACTCAGCTAATTTTTACTTTTAAATTTAAAAATTAATGTGTAATTTAACCAGGAAATAATATGGGAAAGATAATAACTTCAGTTAAAACAGAATGAAGAGAGCCGGGTGGTGGTGGCACACGCCTTTAATCCCAGCACTCAGGAGGCAGAGGCAGGTGGATCTCTGTGAGTTCGAGACCAGCCTGGTCTACAAGAGCTAGTTCCAGGACAGGCTCCAAAGCTACAGAGAAACCCTGTCTCGAAAAACAAAAAAAAAAAAAAAAAAAAAAAAAGACACACACACACACACAAAAAAAAACCCCAGAATGAAGAGGGCCGGCTGCAGTGATGCGCACCAGAAATTCTATCACTTGGGAGGTGGGTGTAGGAAACCAGTACAGGGTTGTCCTCAGCTACATAGCAAGTTCAAGCAAGCCTGGGCTAAGTGAGACCCTGCCTCAAACCCCAAATTTATTATATAATTCACCTTTTAAAATGTGTAGTTCCCTTTTGATAAGCACAAGTGAACCACTGCCCTAATGGAAGGCAGAGCAGATGCACTCACAGCCTTAAGTCAAGGAAGAGATGCAGAACTGGTCGAAACGGGGAGGATAAGGACTGCTGGTGCTCAGTCCTAATGGGATAGCTATGTCTCTCACAGAACCAGGGAATACCGAGGCAGAAGGGCTGGAAAGACAGAAAAAGCCAGAGGATGGGGAAGAGTGTTTTGGGGCACTGTCTTCTGAATAGGACTTGGCCACTGCATCATGCATGTCTTGATCATACAGTAGCTGTGAACCCTTGTATGGCACCTGCACAAAATGGAGACATGAAAATAGGAAATAACAGGGCTGCAGAGATGGCTCAGCCCTTAAGAGCACTGGCTGTTCTTCCAGAGGACCCAGGTTCAATTCCCAGCACTCACATGGCAGCTCACAATCTGATACTTCCCTCTGGTCTACAAGCACACATGCAGACAAAGTACCTTCATACATAAAAAATAAATCTAAGGCCGGGTGGTGGTGGCGCACGCCTTTAATCCCAGCACTTGGGAGGCAGAGGCAGGCGGATCTCTGGGAGTTCGAGGCCAGCTTGGTCTAGAAGAGCTAGTTCCAGGACAGGCACCAAAGCTACAGAGAAACCCTGTCTTGAAAAACCACACACACAAAAAAAATTAATTGCATACATGTATACAATGTATCTTGATCATAATCCACCTCCAGTTTCATCTGGCCATTCCATCATAACCCCTTCTCACCTTCATACCTTCATGTTCCTTCTCTCTGCCTCTTCTGTCTCTCCTCTCTGGTTTCTGTAACCTGCTGAATCCAACTGCTGGAATACTGACTGGTCTGGTCTCTTGCTCTTGTGTAAGTCTTATACAGGTGACCATAGCTGTAGTGATCCTGGGTGCTACAGCCATGTCACGTCCAGAAGACATCAGCACTCTTCTCCATCCTCTGGTTCTTCTGCCACATTCCCTGAACCTTGGGTGGGTGGGTCAGTGGTGACGTAGATGTCCCATCAGAGCTGAGCACTCAATAGCTGCTTATTCTCAGCACTTTGCCAAGTTATGAGTCTCTGCATTGACTTTTGCCTGCAGCAGAAGGAGCCTCTATGTGTATAAACACAAGTATTTGGAAGGAAGTTTGACGGTGTGTCTGTCCATTTATCAAAACAACGGTAGTAGGTCCCCTACTAGAGCCTGTGACCTGAGCAATGTACTTTTGATCAGATTTACAGTATCATGCATATTATAGGTTTCTTTCTTAGATTTATTTTGATGTGTATTCGTGTTTTACATGGATGTATGTGTTGTAAGGAGAAGCCTGCTTGTTCATCCCAGCCGCCCGTCTAGCTTAGCCCCGAAATAATCACACAGATTGTATTCATTAAAATACTGCTTGGCCTATTAGCTCTAGTTTCTTATTGGCTAATTCTTATATATTAATTTAACCCATTTCTAGTAATCTGTGTATCGCCATGTGGCAATGGCTTACCAGGTAAAATTCTAACCAGCTTCCATCTCAGGTGGAGGATCCATGGCTTCTCTCCTTCACTCTGCTTTCTTCCTCCCAGCATTCAGTTCTGTTTTCCCCACCTACCTAAGTTCTGCCCTATCAAAAGGCCAAGGCAGTTTCTTTATTCATTAACCAATGAAAGCAACACACAAACAGAAGGACCTCCTACACCATGTATGCAGCGTAACACCTTCATGCAGTATCTGTGGAGGTCAGAAGAGGACATAGTATACCCTGGCAACTGGAGTTACAGATGGTTGTGAGCCACCATGTGGGTGCTGGGAACCTAACTCCGGGTCCTCTGTCAGAGCAGTAAGCACTCTTAACTGCCGAGACATCTCTCCAGCTCCCATTTTGCAGTTTTTAATCATGGCATATGTAGGTGGGTGTGGGGGATGGTATCTTTCCTGCAGGCCTGGATCATGGCCTTGTGAGGCAAACCAGCGTCATACTTGCAGGGCCTGCATCCACATGGGCCTGCCTACTGGGACTGATTGATGGGACCTAGGGGCTGCACCTCCTTAACTGAGCCTGCCCTGCTCTCAAGGTTTCACGTCATCACTAATAGTCCTGTTCTTGGTTTTGCAGCCAGAACCAAAGCCTGGAGACCTGATTGAGATTTTCCGTCCTATATACAGACATTGGGCCGTCTATGTCGGTGATGGATATGTGATCCACCTGGCTCCCCCAAGTAAGAACACTGGGGTCTTCATTGTGCTGGGCCTAGGGACTGGGAAAGGACGTGTGGAGCTGTGGGTAACAGGTTGTTCCTGGGTGCTCCTTGCTCCTTGATTAACCATTTGTTTCTAAGTTCATGTGAGGGCATCTGCCCCTAGATCCACCAATAGTCAATAATTTAGCAGGGAGGGTAGAGACCTGTGAGTCCTTCCCCAATCCATGGGTGACTGTTGATAGGCCCAGTCTTATTTCAGATCTGCTGTAGACAGCTATACATAACTGTTTTCTAGTTTTTATTTTTTAAAGACAGGGTCTCATGGATGGGTGAGTGTAGTGGTGTACTCCTTTAATACCAGCCCTCAGGAGGCACAGGCAGAGAGATCTCTGTTGGGGGATATTCAATCAGAGTTTGCATTTGCATTAAATAAAATTAATTTTGGGTCAGGAGGCTGAGTTAGCAACTAGTTGACAGAAAATGATCATAGAGCATCAGAGAGCATCTGGAAGAGATAGATGCATGGAAGGGGTAGGGAGGGATTTGGAGTGGCATAACTGTTTTGTTTGGTGGAGCAGAATGTTGCACACTCTTTGGGAGACACCCACAGGAGAGAAGGTAAGCTGGTTGCCCCTCAACCTTCTGAGCTAGCAGGTTTTCACCCCAGCCTTTAATCTCAAAACTTTTTAATAAATAGAATGATAGAGATTTAGTGAAAGCTACCGTTAGTGGCAGTGGCAAAGCTGGTGCCTACAGAAACAGAATTCCTGCCAGGCTGCAGTCTGAGCAACCAGGCCAGAGAAATGGGCCAGTAACTGTGGATTCACAATTGCTGGCTGAAATAGCAGTAGATTAAGGCACAGCTACTGTGCTGAAGTTAAAACAGCAGATCTCTGTGTGTGAGTTCAAGGCCTGTTCTACATAGAGTGTTCCAGGACAGGTAGAGCTACATGGATCCTGTTTCAAAACAACAACAAAAAAAAAAAAAAACACAAAAGACAGGGTCTCACTATGTCATCCTACATGGTCTAGAATTCCTTATGTTAATCTCTCCAAAGAGTAAAGATCATTACCCAAATTCTTTGATCAAATTAAGCAAATTTTGTTTTCTGTCAGATAGGGTCATCATCACCCTAAAGTTGGGTTTGAGAAAATAGCATTGAACACAGAAGACAGTGGGGTTTGTATAACCCCCAGAGCTGCAAGGCTACTGGTTTTTAAGGGTTGGGAGCTTTCAAGAGGGATTTGGTTATGAAAGAAGTTGACTGAACATTTTTAAAAAATTATTTTTATTTATTTATTTGGTTTTTCTAGACAGGGTTTCTCTGTAGCTTTGGAGCTTGTCCTGTGACTAGTTTTCTTTTTTAAATTGATTTTATTGAGCTCTCCATTTTTCTCTGCTACCCTCCCTGCCTCTCTCCTCCCTTTCAATCCTTTCCAATGGTCCTCATGCTCCCAATTTACTCAGGAGATCTTGTCTTCTATTACTTCCAATGTGGATTAGATCCATATATGTCTTAGAGTCCTCATTGTTATCTAGGTTCACTGGGGTTGAGATTTGTAGGCTGGTTTTCTTTGCTTTATGTTTAAAAACCACTTATGAGTGAGTACATATGATAATTCTCTTTCTGGGTCTGGGTTACCTCACTCAAAATGATGTTTTCTAGATCCACCCATTTCTGGCTGAACATTTTACTGTTATTTGGCAGAACCTTATCTTCTTAGGGTGGAGTCAGAATGTAGGGTGTAGATCATGTCAAATTCCAGAAAATGTGTCAATACATGGTCAAACCCAAGTTTTACAGAAAACAGGAATGAACTTATTTTGACCTTGTACTAAAATGACTTCTGACCTTAAAATTGAGTTAGGCTGGTTCATCATGTATGTAAACCAGGCTGCCCTTGAACTCATAAAGATCTGCCTGCCTGTCTCATAAGTTTTGGGGTCAAGGGAGTATCTCACCATGTCCAATTCAAGTGTTTTATGTATTGGAAGAGTTCAGCCTATTCTACGGCTGAACTTCATGGAAGAAAGATTACTTGGCCTCTGCTCTTTTCCTTTCTGCCATTGCTTGATGCTCTCCCAGTGTCACATTTAAAGACTGGTCCTGTCCTGGTTACTGATGTTCTGTTTCTTTACCCAGCTGGCCCCGTTTCTGACAGGGAACCAGTCTTGCGATGCTCCATGGGCTCCTGGATCTACTTCTTTGGGATATAGCTCCTTTCCAGCCATCATACCCAGTGCATGCTCATTCCCCAGGGTATAGGTCATTGGGTTAAGAGACCCAGGCTCTGTGCTATGTCAGCTGCCCGACTGCCTCAGCCTGGTCCTACAGAACCCAAGTTCCTCCTCTTCGAGTCACTCCATTATTGTCTCTTCTCACCTGTGGAGTTTGACTGCCACATCCTCTGGGTCTCTTTGGGGGAGCAGCTGGAGAGTTTTGGTCCCCTTTTTTCCTGGAAAGGTGGGAATCTAGAAGACTAATGGTATAGCAGTGACTGCGCATTTATTTCCTTGCCACTCAGGCCCGAATAACCACACAAAACTATATTAATTACAACACTGTTTGGCCTATTAGTTCAGGCTTCTTATTAACTAACTCTTACATCTTAAATTAACCCATTTCTATTAATTTGTGTATCACCATGAGGCTGTTGACTACTGATAAGGTTCTGGCAGTGTCTTTCTCCTTCGGCAGCTACATGGCATCTCTTTGACTCTGCCTACTCTCTCTATATATCTCTGTTCAGATTTCCTGCCTGGTTTTACTCTGCTAAGCTATTGACCAAAACAGATTCTTTATTAACCAATGGTAATATTCACAGTATGCAGAGGGGAATCCTACATCAACCAACCTCTCTTCCTGAGGCCATCAGCCTGGTGAGGTCAAGGAATTGTAGCCCAGATGGAATCAATAGGTTATATGCTCTTTTCCCAGGAAGATGAGGAGGTCTTAGCACATAGTTGTAGAATCAAGAACTGGTTACAATGCCGAGGACCAGCTTCTCTTGGCTAAAGAAACGCTCCAGTAGCCAAGGTGATGATGATGCATGTCCATCATCCCAGTAGCCAGGGGTGATGGTATATGCCCATCATCCCAGCATATAGATTGCAGAGGAAGGAAGTTGTTGAGAGTTTGACACCAGGTTGGACTACATAACATGGTAGTTTCCAGGTTAGACCAGCCTGGATTATAGAGTGAGCCATTATCTCATCCCTCAACTGACCACCACCCTTACTAGCCCTGTACCACTAAAGCATCACAGTAAATTGTGGCACTAAAGCCTCACCTGTGTCCGTCCTGCTCATTCTTTGTGGATGGTGCTTAAGCCTGGATGCCCATCTGTGGACTAGCACTGAATGACTCCTCTGTTCTTTGTGAATCCACAGGTGAAATTGCAGGAGCTGGGGCAGCCAGCATCATGTCTGCTTTGACTGACAAGGCCATAGTGAAGAAAGAACTGCTGTGTGATGTGGCCGGGAAGGACAAGTACCAGGTCAACAACAAACATGACGGTGAATATACCCCACTGCCTGCATATAAGATCGTTAAGCGTGCCGAGGAGATGGTGGGAAAGGAGGTGCTCTACAAGCTGACCAGTGAGAACTGTGAGCACTTTGTGAACGAACTCCGTTATGGAGTTTCCCGCAGTGACCAGGTACGTCCTTAGCCCCTGCACCTGACCTTAGGTACCACGTCATTTCCCCAGATGACAGTGACTGGATGTGAGTGTGGGTGGAGACAGAGTTATAAACAAGACAAAAATAGCCCAGGTGTGAGCTGTGCTGGAGAGGTGGCTCAGCGGTTAAGAGCACTGGCTACTCTTTCAGAGGTCCTGAGTTCAATTCCCAGCAACCACGTGTTGGCTCGCAATCATCTGTGATGAAATCTGGTGCCCTCTTCTGGTGTGCAGGGAGAACACTATGTACATAATAAATAAATTTTAAAGAAAAAAAATAGCCTAGGTGTTATGCTTCCTGTCCCCGAGTGTCATGCGCAGGGTGGGGAGTCAGGCAGGCGAGATGGCAGTGCAGATCAGCACATAGGGTAGTGACGACCAGTCCACCCCTGTGATGATGCTCTTCAAGCCTTGGAGGCAGCTCTGTTAGTCCCATTTTGTAGATGAGGAAATAGAAGCGCTTTAACTGCTTTTTTTTTTTTACCACCAGCTGCACCTGAAGGAGGGAAGTTTGTTTTGGCTGAGGTGAAGGGCGACCACCATCACAGAGGGGCAGGTGCGATGGTGGGAGGCCATTGGTGGGACTTGGGCAGGTCCGGAAGCAGAGGAAAGGGGATGCTGGAGCTCATCCTGCTTTCTTCAGGATTCCAGCGAATGCAAGGGTGCTCCTCACTCTCAGGGCAATCACCTCCATGTTAACAGTCTCTGGAAATGCCCTCACAGTCACAGCCAGAAGTGTGCCTCATTAGTGCCCTAGGTATTCCTTGTTTACTAAGAAATGGTGCCTTTAAAAGCGATCTCCTGTGTGTGAAAGGTTCACATGCAGCACTCCACACAAGAAGCAGCATTATAACATCTGTTTATGCGGCCATCTGTTAGAGGCCTCTGAGCTCCTTAGTCATTAAAGGGAATTTAGTTAGGCATGTTTATGGGGACAGAAATTGCAGGAACAGAGAGCTTTGCAGCAAAAATAAGGTTCAAACATTTGGCAGATAGCAATAAAAACACAGGCAATGCAAATAACAATAACTTTGGTCTGTGAAAGCATTCTTTTACCAAACAGAAACAGGACCTGCAGTGCTACGTTGGCTGTGACTCCTTAACCTTCAGGAAGTTTTGGATAAGTGTTAATCTTCTCAGATAAGGGAGGGATTTCTAACCAGCAGGAAGAACTCAGTCTACCTAAATAAAAGTTTAAATTATTCATATGTAACCTGTCTCAAACTATTATAACATGTTGCTTGCTAAGTGCATATATAAAAGTGTATGTATGTATGTATGTATGTATGTATGTATGTATGTATGTATGTGTGATTTGACTGTACCACCTTGTCATCACCAGGTCTAACTAGATACTGTATTTATATACTGATCAGTGTCTTTGTGTACAAAGTGTTACCATGAACAGCGGAGTCATTGTTGTGTGTCTTGACAAAGTATCTTTTGTCCAAATCAGTGATATCAGCATTATTTTGTTATTGTTCTCGTACTCTGAGCTTCAGAAAAGAATGAGGCTCATGGTGCTCCTCCTTCATCAACAGCAGACCATTTTACCCCTGCTGATATAGAACAGCAAGGAAAACACTAGATAGGAATGTTGTGTGTGTGTGTGTGTGTGTGTAGAGGCAAAAGGCCAACCTCCAGTGTCATTTCTTTCTTAGGCACTGTCCCTCTTTTTTTAAAAAATAAACAAACAAAGGAAAAGATAAGATTTCTCCCTGGCTTGGAATTTGTCACCTGGGCTGGGCTGACTGACCAGCAAGCCCCAGGGATCAGCTTGTCTCATCCCCCAGCACTGAGATTATAAATGCATGCCCCAACACCTGGCTTTTTACAGGGTTCTGGAGATCAAACTTAGGTCCTTAGCACGTTACCCACTGAACCATCTCCCCAGCTACATACTTAGCAAAGTATAACACCATGGTTCGAGGCTAGTCAGCAGGCTAGCCAGCAGTCAGACCTCTGATTGATAGTGCCATTCAGACTTCCATCCAAACTAGGGGTCAGCAATGAGGGAAGACAGGGGATACAGAAGATAGGCACCAGGTAAGAAGCCAATGAATGGGGGTGAGGCCAGGGGCTCATTAACGTTGAGTTCGTTGTGCACTGCTTGAGAGTCCTCTGTACCCAAATCTTCCGTTGTTTCTACTTGTCATGGTCAGATTCTCTGGAAAAGTTTTCCAGGGTTGGTTGGAGGATGATATTCTGAGAGCAGCAAGAGAGGGTCTGGGAGACTCAACATTGAACATGCTCATAGTCACTCAATGTCCTGTTTGTGGTGCGATACAACCTCGAATGTTCTACACTTGTAGGCCTTAAAGCTCAAAGCTCTTGTTTTACCTGGTCCAGAGAACAAACATTCAGGTCTCTGCTAGGGTGAGGGAGGAGATCCAGAGAACTGGCGGAAGTGTCCTCTCCTGTTCACTCCCAGAGGAACCCTGGCTTGTCTGTCTGACCCTCTCAGGAGTTTCTTTCTCCAAGTAGGGTTACTCCTCAGCTTCTCTGTCCTTGTTGAATTCTGCTTAAAACAAATGCCTCCAGGGCTAGGGATGGCTCTGCCACCAAGACTAGGCTCACAACTAGAAAGAAATGCCCCAAAATGGTGCTGGGGATTGAACTCAGTGTCTTTCCCTGGTAGGCTAGTGTTCTACCATGCATCCCTCTCCCCACACAAGCAAACACTTTCTTTTACTTCAGTTGGATTTGAGGAGAGTGGGAGTTGACAAACGTTCCGCTTTCCCCGCACCGCCCTCTTTTGCAATGCTTTCCTTTCCTGCTGGATGGCAGCACGGGTGAGTTCTGCTCACACCTGCACGGCACCACTGCCATTCCTAGCGGAATTTAAGAACAGAGAATCAGGTTCTATGGCTCACCCCTCTAACACATGGTGGGTGGAGGCAGGAGGACCAGGAGTTTCAGGTTATCCTTGGTGTGCTGGCTACTTTTTTCGACTTGACACAAGCTTAGAGTCATTTTGGAATGAGGGAACTTCAACTGAGAAGATGCCCCCACTAGATTGTCCTGTGTGCAAATTCGGGTGCATTTTCTTTATTGATAATTGATGGGGGAAGGCCTATTTCATTGTAGGTATTACCACCCCTGGGCTGGTGGTGCCAGGTGCTAAGAAAGGAGGCTAAGTAAGCCATGTGTGAGAAGCAAGCCCGTAAGCAGCTTTCCTCCATGGCCTCTGCATAAGTTCCTGCCCTGCCTGTGTTTCCCGACTCCCCTCAATGGTGGAGTGTTACCTGGAAGTGTAGGATAAAATAAACGCTTTTCTCTACAAGGTGCTGTTGGTCAGGGTGTTTTATCACAACAATAGAAACTCTAAGACACTTCACCATGTACTGAGCTCAAGTTTGAGGCCAGCCTGGGCTACACGAGACCTTTTCTTAAAATATAAAAGATGACAAAAAGGAGGACTGTGGAATAGGGGCCACTCTGCTTTGACTCTGGTCGCTGGGCAGATCATGTGTAGCATCATGTCTTTAACCCTGGTGCTTAGGAGGCCAAGGCAGGAGGATCTTGAGTTCAGTGTTCTACATAGAAAGACCCTGATTCCAAAAGAAAAAACTAGCAATCAGCAAAAGCAATAAAACCCCAACCCTTTAAAGGGAACACCTCCATACCCGGTAGGCCCAGACACTGGAAACAGGGCATGAAGGAGGTCTTTGTGTCATGGAGGTCAGATTTTTTTTTGGTTTCTCAATTGTAATTTCTTCCTGACTTTGCACTTGCCATCGGTTGGCCAGGATCTTCAGCCCCTGCTGTCCCCTCACTGCCCTTTCCATAGACGCCTTATAAAGACGTAAATAGTCCGGGGCTCAATTCAGGCTACCATTCTGGGTCTGGGTAAATTCCAGGCTAGCTGGTTCCCTCCCAGTCCTCTTCTCCCGTTGACCCTGGCAGTATCTGTTGGCTCTCGAGTTTGGCCACTGGAAGTGAAGGGAGCCTATGAGGTGCCGTGAGCTGAGCGACCCTGCTCCCACATTCTTGACACAGAGCCTGACTCACCTCTTTCTCTGTTGCAGGTCACAGATGCCATCAAAGTGGCAGGCATTACTGGAGTGTGCTTGGCAACCGTGGGCCTCATTGGAATCATGTGTTCCAGAAACAAGAAACAGAAGCAATGAGTTGAATGACTATCCAGCCTTACGGGCTCTTCTTTTGCTAGAGGGTTTGAAGTTTGATTCATAGATTCTACTGTTTTATAATTAGGCTTATTTTCACAGCATACAATAAAGCACAAGCAGGGGATTTTGCCGGAAGGATGCTGCAGTAGCTACCTGGTGTGACGTCTTTGGAGGGACGCTCTGGGTTCTGTTCTGGGCAACATTCTTTCCTGCCTGCTCCTTCTCTTTGCTGTCGCACCCTTTGCATTGCAGAAAACAGAGTCCGACATGATGATCTCGTCAGACAGATGTGGTACGCCAAAGGAAACAGCCTGGACAGACAGAACCTCAGATAACCAGGGCTCCTGGCCTAGAACTTGATTCAGCTTGGCACCTTGAGACTCAGGAGCTGGAGTCCATGGATATTCAGTGGAGTGTGAAAGACGGATCCTCTAGGTCTGGGACTGTAGCTCAGTGGCAGAGTGCTGTCCTGGGGTGCATGAGGTTTAAAGCTCAACTTCTCTAGTACAACCCCTTTCCGCATAGAAATTCGGGATATACTTCTTGGTTGGTCTTCCTAAAGCCTTCCAATGTCCCTCTGCATTCCAGGTGTGTTCTAGTTAGCTTTCTATTGCTGTGCTAAAGACCAGAGACAACTTGGGGAGGCGAGGGTTTATCGGCTTACACACCCCTGGTCACAGTCTGTTGAGAGAAGCTGAAACAGAAATTCAAGGCAGGAGCTGAAGCCGAAACCATGGAGTGGGGTGCTGCTCACTGGCTTGCTCTCCAGGGCTTTCTCATATAATCCAGGACCACCTGCTGAGGGGTGGTACCACCCACAGTGGGAGGGGCCCTCCCTCCCACACCAATCACTGATCAAGAAAATGCACTACAGACTCGACTATAGCCAATCTCATGGAGGCATTTTCTCAACAGAGGCTTCCTCCACCCAGATGACTCCAGCTTGCGTCACCTTGAAAAAAACCAACCAGCACGAGGTCCATTGGCCTTGGCTCTTCCTCCTCCTCAGTGCTCACCACTGCTCCAGTACTTCCACCTGCCCTTCCCTTCCCACCTCACCTCGTTATCACTTACATCAGCCCTGAATTCCCAAGAGAGAATATGATTGGCTCAGTTCACTACAGAGCTCAGCTTACACACGGGCCGCCTTTTGGTCAAGTGGTTTCTATTAAGTCAATTAACTGTGTCTAATGGCTCAGTCATGTGGTACTTGTGGTTTTGGGGTGACTAATAACTTAGTGCTCATCCCAGGACTGGGGCAAGGTATCCCCTTTGCAATTGATTTTTTTTAAAAAAAAATGTTACGTGTATACGTATTCACACATATGTATGTGCACTGTGTGTGCACAGTGCCTGTGGAGGCCAGCAGAGGCACTGGATACCCTGAGACTGGAGTTACAGAGGGTTATTAGCTGCCCCATGGGATCTGGGAACTGGCCCCAGATCCTCTGCAATTGAAATATTTCATCCAACAGGGAAGCTCTTTAAGCAGAAAGGTCAACAATTTAAAATAGCTTCAGGGGTGCTGCAGACCAGCTGCCTGGAAGAGGTTTAGACCAACTCAGTCACTTGGAAAGGACCCTTTCCAGCCTGGTGTGTGATGTTTTACTCTTCTGGCTTTTTGAGAGGTCCATCACCCAGCTCCCAAATAAATCACACACAGAGGGTTATTTTTAGTAATGAGTGCCCAGCCTTAGCTTGGCTTGTTTCTTGCCAGCTTTTCTTAACTTAAATTATCGAGACTACCTTTTGCTTTGGGGCTTTTGTCTTTCTCTATTTCTGTATACTTTCCTTAACTTCTTTCTCTGTGGTTTGCTGTGTAGCTGCGTGTCTGGCCCCTGACATCCTACTTTCCTTGTTCTCTTCTTCCTCATTTTTCTTTCTATTTATCCTCTCTACCTGCTAGCCCTGCCTATCCATGCTCCTGCCTTGCTATTGGCCAGTCAGCTCTTTATTAGACACCATCAGGTGTTTTAGACAGTCAAAGAATCACAGCTTCACAGAGTTAAACAAATGCAGCATAAACAAAAGCAATACACCTTAAAATAATATTCCCCAACACCAACCTGTTGAGCTGCCTGAGGCTGGGCAGTGTGCTCCAGGTGCCTATCTTTGTGAACTGCCACCCATGCTGGGGTGGGCCTTGGTCATTTCTGCTCAAGTAACCCCTCACCCATATTCCTATAACTTCAGTGGAACTCACTGGGTCACCAGGCTGGACTTTAGTGGTATCTGTGCATTGGTCTCCCTATCTGGGAGGGAGTAGACACATGTGTAGTGTCTTCTCAAGAAAAATTTTGATACACATTAGGGACCTACACTGGAAGGAGAAAACTGACTCCCAAAAGTTGTGCTCTGACTTGTACCTGTGTGTCATAGCAACATACCTACAGATTGTCAGAATCCCTAGGACTGAAGTTACAGATGGTTGGGACACCTTCCCCAGCACACATGGGTGCTGGGAAGCAAACCCAGGCTCTCTGCAAGAACAGTAAGTGCTCTTAACCTCTGAAGTATTTCTCCACTCCACATACGTGGCATTTTAAAAGGGGTTGAATTTGCGTTTCTTTTGGGGCTAGCTCTTATGTGGGCCAGAGAAACAGGATTTTTTTTTTTTTTTTGATAGACTTACTGTGGTCCAGGCTGGCCTCCAAATCACTATGTAGTGAGGATAAACTTTTTTTTTTTTGTTTTTGTTTTTCAAGACAGGGTTTCTCTATGGTTTTGGAGCCTGTCCTGGAACTAGCTCTTGTAGACCAGGCTGGTCTCGAACTTACAGAGATCCTCCTGCCTCTGCCTCCCAAGTGCTGGGATTAAAGACGTGCGCCACCACCGCCCAGCGAGGATAAACTTTAATAACTTCTGAGCCTCCTACCTCCACCTCTCAAACATTGGGATTACAGGTATGTGCCATCATGCTTAGTTCTGGGGTCTTAGGGATAAAACCAGGTCTGCATACATACTAGGCAAGCACCCTACCAACTGAGCAATCCTTGATCCAGTAAAACTTGTTGTGGTAGCTTGAATGTAATTCGTTCCCATAAACTCATAAGGAGTGGCGATATTAGGAGGCATGGCTTTGATGGAGGAAGCGTGTCACTGTGAGGGGAAGGCTTTGAAGTTTCCTATGCTCAGGATACCACCCAGTGTCACAGTCTACTTCCTGTTGCCTTCTGATCAAGATGTAGCCAGCTTCATGTCTGCTTGCATGCTACGTCCCCTGCCATGATAATAATGGACGGAGCCTCTGAAACCGTGAGCAAGCCACCCCAATGAAAGTTTTCCTTATAAGAGTTGTTGTGGTCATGGTGTCTCTTCCCAGCAATAGAAACCCTAAAGCATTTGTTTTTAATCAAATGCCCAAGACTCTGTCTTTCTTTTCTTCTTCTTCTTTTGAGACAGGGTTTCTTGGTGTAGACCTGGCTATCCTGGAACTTTCTCTGTAGACCAGGCTGGCCTTGAGCTCACAGAGATCCACCTGCTTTTGCCTTCTGAGTTCTGGGATTAAAGACATGAGCTGTAGCTCATCACTACGGGATGAGATACGTGAGCCGGGAAAGGGGCTGGAGATTTAAAAACACACGCACACAGACAGAGACACAGGGACACGGGTCATCCTTGAAACAAGAAAGCCAACTTTATTGTGCTCCAGGGAAGCTTATATAGGGATCCTTAACTGATAGCCACACCCCAGCTCTTGGGATTTCCAGCTGTAAAACCCACCAGAATTCACTCCCCTGCCATCAGGAACTCATGAGGGGCTCGTGCTCTGAGCAGGTGCAGGCACAGGAAAACAAGTTGTTTCATTCCAGCAAGCAAAGGGTCTGAGGTGGGCAAAGAAAGCCAAGGGGCCAGGGGTCTGCAGCCCCCAACAATGTGCCACTACCCCAGCTAGACTACTCTCTATATCCATGTAATTATTTATTTTAACATTTGTGTGTGTGTGTGTGTGTGTGTGTGTGTGTGTGTACAATGCCTTGGGGCCCCTGCATACAGAGGTTATAGGACAATTTTTGGGAGTTGCTTTTCTAACTCTGTTACTTATTTGTCTTGATACTGTGACCTGACAAAAGCCGCTAAGGAAGGGAATATTAGTTTACAGTTCTGGGGACTAAGTACACAACTGCCGGATGTTTGGCAGCAGGAGCAGGAGAGGACTGGCCCCATTGCACCAACAGTGAAAAGCGGAGAGTGATAAGCCCCCTGCTTTAATTATGGTCTCGTTTTAATTTGGTCTGAGACCCTATCCATGGGATGGTGTCTGCTACATTTCAGGTTGTTTTTCTTACTTCACTTGACCTAATCTAAATAACCCCTCACACACAAACCCAGAGACTTGTTTTCATGGTGATTCTATATTCCATCAATCAAACTCCCCGATCAAGATTAACTACCGTGCCAACATAATACTGCTGTAGGCAGAGTTCTCCTGAACCAACCACCTGCTCCCAAATAACTAATTCAGAGGCTTAATATTAATTATAAATGATCAGCTGATAGCTCAGGCTTATTACTACCTAACTCTTACATTTAAATTAACCCCTCTTTTTTATCTATGCTTTGCAACATGACTCATGGCTTTTTACCTCATTTTCTATATGTGCTGTTTCCTTAGTGGCTGGCTGGCATCTCCTCTGACTTCATCTTTCTTCCTCCCAGCATTTTCCGTGATTGTGTCACCTAATTTTATCCTGTCTTGCTATAGGCCAATCAGCTTCTTTATTAACCAATGGGAGTAATACATATTCACAGTGTACAGAAGGATTATTTTACAGCACACTGCTATTTATAAAATAAATGTTTGAATTCAAGTTCTTTACTTATTTTTTGCCATGGTGTGGAGCCAACCCAGGGGCCAACACAAGCAAGGCAAGTGCTCTACCACTGAGCTATACCCCACAGCTATACCCTGCTGATTTCTATGCCTCAAATGCTCGTGTCATCAGAAGGCACCAGGAGTGAGGAGACAGAACCAAACCTGCCTCTCTGGCCAGACCCCCTCCTGCCTCCCAGACCTGCACAGGGCCTGCAGCGTGAGACAGAAAGACAATCTCTGGAACTGCAGGACTGAATTTATCCTCTACTGTGGCTAAGTAATCTGAGCAATCACAGAAACACCTCTTGGATTTCTGCTT